AAGTCTAATTGGTTCAATATCATAAATACGAAGCGATTCGAGACAACTCAATGAAGATTTGATGGTAAACCATAAGAAAAAAATATCGTTTTGCATTGATAAACATACTTTTATAGAGAATATTTTATGCATATTCATACGAAGAAATTGTTTATAATTATTTCTATGTCCTTCCTTATATTTTGAATGATGAATTTGAATTTTAAACAATAGAGATGGAGAATTGAGAAGTTGTTGAAAACGATAATTAAGATTTGAAAATGCTTTATATATTGCATAACTATCAAGATAATCAAATAGTTCATAGAAAAATTCCATAGGTAAATTTTCAATACAAGTTATTGATCGATCAAATTCATCTAATTATATGACAATACAAAAAACATTTATATTTATGATTCGAATAACTTACTTCGTAATTTTTTGATTTCATCTTTTGATGATTGATTAAAAGATAATTTTCGTTTAATTTGATTCATATATCAATTTAAAAATTTGAAATTTAATGATTTTGTTTATTTCTACAAAAAAAAATACCACCAATGAATCATTGATGGTTGATCCTCATGTATTTATGAAAATAAGAGTTCTTCAAATTTATAAACTCATTTAATGATGGACTTTTTTTTTGTCATTGATAAAAGATACTTATACAATTTTATATTTTAGAAAATAAAATAATATTATCATTATGTTTTGAATTAACCTAAATCGAACTTAAAATTTCAATAAAATATTTACCTATTATTCGATCTGAAAAGGAAAATATTATTATTTACAGATAATAATATAACTGTGCAGTATGACAAACTAGAGGAGTAACTTTATCGTTGGTGAAATAGAAGAGAAAAGACAAAAAAAAAATGTAGCGTTCGAGGTCACTATTATGAAGAAGAAGAGGTCACATAGAGAAGAAAAAGGAAGGAATATCGGTTCACTGTTTTCAGAATTAAAAATTCGTGTCACATATGAATGTGCAGAGACAAGAACTAAGATGAATGAGCATACGTGGAACTTCAAACACTATAGTAGTACGAAATGAAGAAGAATTTTTATGCTTTATTTTATTCCCAAAAAGATTGCAGATAGTTGATTTTTATGTTCATTGCCAGTCGATCACGCTAGCAAAAAAAAAGAAGGAAAGAAGTGAAGAAACAAAGGAAGTAAAACAATGTGAATAAAACAAAAAACAACGTTGACTGAGCATTGTAGCTTGAGTCTAGAAAAGTCACAAATGAGAGGAAAGAAAAAAAAAGTACATATATATATATATTTATGCGTATGATTCGTCTCTTTGACCCGTTATACTTCCTCTATTCTTTAATTAATTTTATTCTCTTTTCTGTTTCATGCTTCAGTCATCTGCTATTATGTTGTATTTGTATCTATGACCCTAGGGCTCTATTCTCCCTTCAGGAATGACAAGGTCATAAGGCTCAAGAATGGTAATAACAAAGAAAAAAGGGAAGAATATCGGTCATCTATTTTTTAGATACAAACAAATCATTTTCCAAATTTAAGATACATTATTATAATATTACAATTAAATAATGAATGATTTTGAACATACTCGTACTTTATCGATCTATGCTGTAAGAGTATTAGTGACGATTTTCTTTATATTCATACATTTCTAATAGTACACTTACTCTATCATTTAGTGAGCTAAATAGCAAAAAATTAAAATAAAATTATTCATTTGAGAAGAAGTACAAACTATTTACCAAATCGTGTATTGTTATAAAATGGAATATATTTCGATAAGTTGTTATAATATGATATTATCGATATGTTCATAGGTGTGAATCTGGATGTCAATCGTCTCGTCATCTACAACTACACTAAATCTGATGAAAGACAAAAATAACAGAATGATGAATATCAAGCGCATGTAAACAGTGAGCAGAATACACTCATATCAATTGCTAGAAGTTCATTGCGGAAGTCAATACTGCGAATTTGATGTTTTCATTTTTTGACGATTGTAGACTGCTGCTTGACAATCTGTATTAATCTTTATGCAGAATATCGCAAAGATGATCAAAACGATAATTGATTTGCCATTCTATTGACAGAATAGTTTCAAAGACAAGATTTCTTTTAGTCCTACTTGAAAATTCCACAGAGGTGCACGAACATTTCAAGCACATCTGTTCTTTTCTTCTCAAATGCAGTGCCTGTTGCTGCATTAGCTTTGGGTGTGTGGAAAGAGAGTGGCAGCATCGATATTCACACCCACGACGATCTGATTAGAATATTATTCTTTTTTTTTTAAATAAAAATTATTTTATTGGAAGTTTGATTTGGATTGCCAGAATGCGTTTGAATCATAAAATGTTTATTTGAAGAGCTCATACCAATTGGATATCCAAATTCTTCAGGAAATTCAATCATCTACAATAAAATTCATCTCTTAGTTTTTTTTAGCATCAAATTTAATTTCAGATATAACATGACTACCGCCCATTGCTCAACTAGTAGCAATATTTGACCCACAAGATTCAGTTTGATCGACAATATCATCACATACTAGATCAGGAGGAGTATTATCATCGTAAATAAATCAAGGATTACATTCATGTAAAAGTATATGATCAATAAGGTCGGAACTCTCATTATCGATCAAAGTTTTGTACTGTTGAAAGAAAAAACGGGATTTTCTTCCGGTAATATTATCAAATGATTTACTCCATACTGCAATAGCATGTCTTTTTGTTGTGTAACTACTTGGTACTTTGTAAATTTTTCAATGATATGTTGTGTCATTCGATGGAACACTATACTTAAAATAAATTAACTAGATTAGAATATTTAATTCAATTGTTTAACTAATATTGTTCAAGCGAAGTTCAACATAATCGAGTTCAACAAATTTTTTATCATGTGGTGGTTGACTGCAAGGATCGAAGTGGAATCATAGATGTACTTCGACGACTTTCATGATAACTTATTTCAGATATATCAGAATCAACAAGATCATATATGCATATATCAAAATATTTGTTCCACTCTATCGAAGAAAAAAGTTAAGGGTGTGGATGACTATAGGTTGGTTGTGGATATGAATGGGTGTGAAAAAAAAGATCCACACCCACACCTTCTCAACCATGGTCTAGACACAGTGCGACTTTGTCCCAGTCTGTTAGACTGTGCCTGCGATCTACTAACAATCAGACATCTTTGATGAAAGACTGCATTTCCACTTTCAATACAGATCAAGATCATAACAAAATCGCGTCTTTAAACGAGAAAGAGAATGCAGTGTAATGTATAAACAAAGGAGACTTTTATTTCCTCTGTGATTACTACGGGTGTTTTTTGTGTTGTACAATGATGTAGAGAGAAGCATATCAAGTGTTCTATCAAATAAGCACATGTGAAAGAAACAGGTAAATGTGCGTCTACACAACGTTGTACGAGTAACAGAAAGTGGAGCGATTGAAGGTTAAGAAGCACCAACTTCAGATACATACAGTTTTTGAGAATTTTAGCAGGAATGTTGCAAGCGAGAGGGCATCACCTGTCTCTGAATTCTAGGAGACTTTAATATATTGTTACCTATCATCTCCAGCCACACCATCGTCACTCCGCTAAGCCTTCAATCCAAAGATTCATTGCCTAGGCAACGTTATATTCTTCTATTTGCTCATTTTTTCTTGTACGTTTCACAGATGTTTGGTTTCATGCTATGCATTCTACCATCTACTAATTATAAGGAAGAACTTTTCAAAACATGATTCAGAAAAATATTGAAGAAGAAACATTAAAGATTGTTTTTCTTTCTTGCTTGTCACTCTTTCTATTGAAAAAATTTTATTCAACACATAAATTGTATCTAATGAGTTTTAGTAAAACTTCACGTCATTTTCATGATGTTTGAAACAAATCAGAGAACTGTGACATCATTTGATTGCAAAAAATACAAGATCTACGTTGATATACGACAGTTTTGGATGAAATTTTATTATAAGACGTAAAATTCTAGAACTCCAACACTTTCTACGAATTGAAAATGCACATAAACGAGGCTTCATATTCCGAGAATAAAGAATAATGGAATGCAATTATTAAAACGTTTCGTTATTCGAGAACGATGTTCTGTTCGTGACACGATTTCTTATTGAAACAAACAAAAGAAGTACACATTCGTTTTAAAGCGGAGATGATTGTCCAATACAAAAGATATACATCTAAACAGCATCTAGATAGTCGAACAAGTACACTTTTCCTTGAGCACTGGTCAATTTCAAGAGTCTTCAAATCGATGATTGTATACCGCTTTTTTCTTGAGGATGAGTTGGAGTGATTCTCATTTGTTCACCGTTACCGTCACCCATCCACACACCCTCCCTCACCTTCACGTTCATTCGCCCATCCTCACCCTCATCATCACCCATCCAACCTCGCCTAGTGCATTTTGCTCTTCTACCTTTACGTTTCATTTCTCATACTATCATAGTCCTTCGTATTTCTCTCTTTGTATCTTATCAAGACATGTGTGTGTGTGTGTGAAGAGCGTATGTGAATCTGTTTGTCAACAACATAATCGAGGCCAAAGTCGAATTATATGTTAGGTTAGATTCCGAACAGAACGAACAAAATTGTCTTTCAAAAAGTCCAGAACTTTTGTTATCTACTCGCATACGTTTTTTATGCGCATTTGGACCTGTGCAACAGTCCACAATATGACAGCGTTTTATCGTTTACGAGAACTCTCGTGTAGATGTATATATATACTCTTCAAAAAGTGAGTGTTGTATAGAACCGTGTTCTACTCGGCCTATTGATAGACAATTAAAATCTTCTTTTGGTTTTATATAGGAGTGTTTCTTAATCCTGTAATTAGTTACAGAACCTTTGATTGGCCTGTAAAGAACTGGAAAATCGTACACAGTGCTACATAGAACCTAAATGAGGTTTTGATTTTTTATCGATACCTAGAATCTTTTATATTTTTCAGAGATTATATATATCTTTCATTTTCTAGATAAATCATCAACATGTTGTTCCTCAGCTTTGCTCTTCTCTGTCTCACTCAATCATTGTTGGCTGTCGACTTGTCTATCTACAAAAGTTTTACTGAAGTTCGTCTGGCTCACAGTGGAATCGGTGATTATGCCTATGAATTTGCAAATGCTGAATATGACAGTATAATTGATGGATCAATCAGTTGGGAAGGTACGCCATTTGCTCGACAAGAAGTCTACAATACAATTGAATCACTTCAAGATGCAAAAGTAACAGTACGACGATCTACAGTGTGCAAATGTGAAACAATTGAAGCTAAAATTATCGATCCCAATTCGATGTTACTCCAAAATTTGAATACAGGAGCACATTTTTATGCTGATAAAGATTCGATTGAATATACATCGACAAGACCGAATAATGGTGGAAAAGCATTGATCCTTCAATTCAACAATGAAAAAACACAATATACTGGAACATTGTCATATTTAATGACAGGAATTACATGGAAACCTAGTTATGATCTACTTTTGACAGGCAACAATGGTGAGTAGATTCATTTTTTTTTAATTACAATTTTCTGTCATTGATCATTCCATTCTATTTTAGAATGTCAACTTCGTTCCTATGCAAATATCAAGAATGATCAACAACGAGAATATATAGTAGACAATACAAATCTCTTAGGTGGTGATGTGCAATTAGCTACAACCAGTAATGTAGAGTCTCTTCATGGATTTGATGCTAGCAGAGCGTCTGTAAACATGAAACCAATTCAAATGATTGGTGAACAACAAGGTGTATATTCTTATTCATTGAAAGACAAATATACACTTCGTCCATTGAGTTCTGTTCGTTTACCATTCATTGATATTGTTGCCAAATATCGATTCTATTACAAAGCATTGACAAATATTGTCTCTGGAAACTATCAAGGTGTTTTTCAAAGAATGTATGATTTAACACCTGATCATTTCATGCCAGCTGGTATTATTACTATTCACGAAAATCAAGTACTTGTTGGTCAATCGAATTTACCCGATGTACCAAAAAATTATACACAAACAATTGGCGTTGGTCAAGATAATGATATTCGCTATTTGGTAAAAGGTAATTTGACATCAAAGACTGATGCCAATGCAACGATACAATTGGAAACTTATGAATTTGATGTTCAAGTTATGAATCTTAAAGACAAAAATGTTGAAGTTGAACTTGTTATCCAAGGTGGTGTTCAAATGATTCTTGATAATACAACATGCAAGTCGGCTAAAGTTAACGGAAATCAATTGAATTTGCCAAGTCATCTTGAAAAGGGTGAAAGTCGCATGTGCAAAATTAATATTACAGTCAGATTGACACAAATGAATCAGTGAACAAGATCAAAAGATTACAACATAGGAAAAATAAATTCTCAGGTTTTATTATTGTTATTGTTTCTTTTATAAAATAAATAAGTTAACAGAATAAGTTCGTACGTAAAAGAGTATCATCAGAAAGGGTGTGGGTGTAGGTGCTCGTGTAGTTCATAATAACACCCACACCCTCATAACTTAATGTTTCACTTTATTGTGATAAAACGTGAGAATAAGAAATACAAATATAAGTTCTCAATGGTCGTTTGATTTATTTTTTTATTCGACCATGTTCATTCGAATGTAAATCTATTAGAGAAGAACTTTGAATATCAGTTGGTACTACCGTTCTCTGCAGTCTATATTTGATTTATGTTTCTCAAGAACTGAAAAGACACTGTTCTTTAGAATGAAAATTCGAAAAACGGATTATGAATGTACAACTCACACAAGCAATATTAGCGAGTACTTTGCTTTATTGTGAAAATTCAAACAATGAAAGAAATTGCAAGTGACCGACTCTGACAAAGTCACTCATTTTTTTTTACATTCTATCCTTCTGATACGTATGCATGGATATCTTTACATCACATCAAGTCATCCTATGTAGATCATTTATCTTTTTCTACATGTGTATCACCACCACAACATAGTTTCTTATCTCATTTATGGTTACTTCTACAAGAAAGATTTCAAACGATGACTCAATCCTTTAAATGACGTTCTCCATCATGTTTTAGAGTTCACAACTGCTACATACACATTTTCTTTATTTTTGGGATGTGTCATCTCGATCACTGGCACCACACAATCAATGTAGATTGGAGATAATACTTTCTCTATGTACGTGAGCGGGATCAACAATTAAGACAGTACAAACCATCAAATGATGATAATATCAATGTTTGCTTTTTATTGGCCGAGATAAATGCACATGAGCTTCACTACCGATCCATTTACATCAATATTTCCTCTCACTCATTTGTCATAAATACTGGATATCAAGTATTCATTGAAATCGTTCAAGTGTGACTTAAAGTACATAAGTAAATTTTAGGCTATTTTTAAAGGTCCATCTTTCTTTAGAATAGATAACCAATCGTTCTCAAGCATCTGTCTTAGTCGAAACTGTTTTGGTTACAAAATGCCCTAACTAATGGATGACAAAAGTAATAAACAGGTGAAAAATTGATCAAATAGCTGACTTTTATAGAACTGCGCTCTTGGATCAATGAATAACAGCAGAAATTGAAGCAATAGAAAAAGAAACACTGCGCAATGTTTTTATGGAAATTAGTAAAAGACTGAATTTTTGTATTTCAGTCAAAGATGATACGTTTGAACAATATCTATAAAGTTCGATCATATCAATAAAAACTTGACAGAGGTACTCACCATTTGAAAAAAAAATAATCAATTAAATCTAATGATATAGAATAGAAGAGCGAGAATATTTTCCCCAAGTGACTTTTGGGACACACTGTATAAATTGCCAAGTGTTTTCACTGTGTATTTTTCAGTACAGTTAAGCTGATCAGCTGTCCTTTGCTCGCCTGGCTAACTTCTTTATCATTTTTTGATGTAGACATCTACGAAAACAGTAGTTTATAAATATTAATTTAATTGATGATCATTTTTTTGTTAGCAAAACTAATAAAGCAATAAGATGAAAAAACAAAAAGATTAATTCAATTGTAAAAAATGCATAAAATCTTTTCTATTTTCATCAGTTGATCGTGTTGGTCGACCTAAATTTTTTCTATGACCAGTTTGAATTCGAAGTTCAAGTAAAATTGGACCATCACTATTAATTGCACGAATTTTTTCCATTGCTTCATTTATTTCAAATTGATTTATGGCTATCATTGCATGTTTATAACCACAACCTTGAGCTATGTGACAAAATGAAAATTTC